TGTCTGCTTCATGTTCTAGCTACTGTTAAAATCCTAATACTACAAAACTATTACAAAATATGAGCTCTGATTTGTTCAGTGACAGTGCCTGCAAAAATTCTCCAGAATTTTTGGGATTGCTCTAACTGGATTGAAGAGACATTTAGATCTTTATCAGTTTTGAGAATCATGAACTGTGCTGATTTGTTAAGCAAAGAATCTGGGGTTGAAAGCAAGCGTCTCTCTAAGGAGCTGCTCTCCTCCAGGCCTTTTAGGGTGCATTTTATTGAGCATCCTTGATGCAAGGAATCACTCAGCTTCGTGTGGCTCACCCAGTAATCTCAGCACCTTGCCTACCATGGGTGTGTTTAGATGTGCAGAACTTGGAGACAAGGCTTTTAGGATAGTTTATCCTGGCCTCTCCTAGCAGCCAGGGCACCCATTTGGTGCCACAGCTGCCCCAAGGCAGAGCTGTACAGGGTGTGATCCAGTTTGTTCTACTTGCTCAGATCTAATGAATTTGTCTTATTTGAATAAGAATAGGGAAGAGAAACAGTTCATCCTTCATGGCTTCAATTTAGTTGTTTTGACTCTGGATTTGTGCATCTCTCACTACAAAGCTGATTTCTGGGGGGTTCCTGACCCTGTTAAGGTCCTGTGAGCAATTTCCTTCCTGGTCCATCCCCTCCTGACAGGTTTGCTTTGGAAGGGGCCTTCAAACAGAGCATGTGGGAGCAGCAAGGATGGTGGGGGCTGGCCAGTCAGCACCTCTCTGGAAATGCAATACTCCAGCTCCCCTGGCCATCTCTGTCTGGTATCTGCAAGCCAGACTCAGGGGTGTAATGTGGTACCTGGTCCTGACAGGGAAAGAAAATGTTTGGGCTGGCTGTAGCTTTCCAGAATGGGTGTTTGAGGGAGTATCCAAGACATTGTTTAACTGAGAGAGGTCAGAGACAAGCCTGTTTGTGCTGATTCCTCTGCCAGCAGCAGGCAGATGGAGTGCAGCAGTGTGGGGAGCTGGGTCAGAACAGACCCTGGCATGATTCCTGTTGTGTAGAGAGGGGCAGATACAGCAATTTTAGTAAAGCTTCCACTTAATAAAGGCAAAATCACTGTCTATGATGATTCAGGCCTGGATCCAGCCTCAGAATAATGGTTTCAAAGCTTATTTTAATTGTCCCATCAGCCCCTCCTTTAAGCCAGGCTATTGAAGTCTTCTGTGTGTGTGACTAAACATCTCTGACCCTTTTGAGTGTCCCAGGTGGCAGTGAACAGAAAGCCAAATGAATTCCCTTCTCTTTTTGGTGCCTTTGTCTCAGGCTTTGAATAAAAGTCTATTTGATGGAGCTTCTTTTTTTTTTTTAAGGAGCTTCTGAGTTTTTTCTTTTTCTTCAAGGGACAGGCATTCCCTGCCCTTGAGATCAGATGGGGATGGTCTCCCTGTCCCCAGATGCCAGCTCTGGAGGTCACAGCTGAAGTAGAGAACTGTGAGCAAGTATCTTTATTTCAACCCTTGAAATCAATGGAAGAAAAGTCTAGCAGGGAATAGAAGAACTTGAAGAGCTCCTTCAGGTCTGGTGTGCCCCCAGAAGTGGCCTGAAGGCAGGATGGAGAACTTCCAGACAGTCTGGTGCCTGGGCGTCTGTGCAGTTCAGAGCTGAGTGAGTCACGCTGGGTCCTGGGAGCTGTTTGGCACTTACAGATTCTGGGTGCAGAGTGGGGCTTGGAGCATCCTGCACCCCTGATTTACTCACTGAGGGCTTGCCCCATGCTGCTTAGTTCTGAACAGAGCAGGGACCTGTGCCTTGTCCCTTGGCCTTTAAGTTGAAATGGGATTGCAACAGCCAGGGAAGTGTCTTGCTACAGGAGCTCTGGGCTGAACAAGCCTGTTGCTGATAGAAAACAGCAGGAGGGAGAGAGCCACGAGAGCAGCTTCAGCCCTTGATGTGAGACAGATCCTGAGCAGCTGCGAGGTACCAAGTGTGTCAGGCTCTGTGCGGTGCTCAAATGTGGGAGAGATCCGTCTGCTTCTTGCACGTATGATGGGGAGGGAAATATCCTTGCTGCGAATCCAAGGGAAATGGGAACTGGGCCAGCACTGAGCTGATTTACCTACTGGCACTTCTGCATCTCCACAACAAATGCCAAAGCCTAATACAATTCAAGGATGCTATTTTAACGTCGGCCTGGTTCCACCAGTCTGTCTCCACAGGCTGGTCCCACAGAGGCTCACAGAAATATTCCCAACGGCACAAACACGCCAGGCTGGAGCTGGGAAGGCTCAGAAACGTGATCACACAGATGGGCCTCCTGTGCTGCACCCCTGCTTCGTGCTGCCCAGCAGGTCTGGGGCACATGCATTCACCTTGGATCCAAATGGATTTGACCCAGGAGTATTGTAGCATTAAAGGTGCTGGGGTGGATGGGAGAGGTGAAAGCAGGTCCATGTCTTCCGGGACTCTGGCTTGCTCAGAGTTTATTGCTGTATATTAAATACTATTTTTGGAGATTGAGGGGAAGATGAGGGTGGGGAGGGATGTGACGATGCTGTCCCCAGTATGATTGGTGGGATGCTACTGCAGGTTTTTGATAGGTTTTGATTTTTTTTTTCCCAAAAAGTGCATTATTTAAAAAAAAATCAACAGAACAAGTGCTTTCCACCCTCCTAGAAACTGTGCTGGCTGATTAGAAAATGTGAATAATCTTTTGCAAACATCAAAGGTTTCTGCTAAAGAATTTGTTTGATGGAGATTTGAAGGCAAGGGGCAAAGTACAGCTTGAACCAGTTTAGCTGGGAAGAGTGTGAATCCAGGAAATGCAGGATCTCTGCCCTGGAGTTGTCCCCTGTCACACTTAATGGGGACGTGCTCTCCTGTGCTGCCATGGCTGTTCTGTCACACTGTGGCAGTTCCTGAGCTGGTGTTCTGGAGCCATGCAGTGGCTGGAAACTGGCTGGCAAGTGGGGGTCTTGAACTTTTTGTGGTTTTCTCGGGGGCTTTGTGCATTCAGGGCTTTCCCACTTGAGAAGCAGCTGGGTACGTAAAGGAGCCCCAGAGCCTGTAAGAGCAGAGGCAGGATGTGTGCTCCATGCCAGGAGACAGAAGCCAGGCCTGAGAGAGGTGCTGGTGGTGTTTGGGTCCTGTTGGGGTAGCAGAGTTGGCACATGGTCCCACTGCTCCATTGTGCCTGGCTGGGGGTGTGGCAGTGACCTGTGCCACTGGCATTAAGGACACATCACAAACTACTTCAAGCTGCAGGTCTACATTGTCTGTAAAGGCTGAAGCAATGTGAGGATGTGAGGAGAAACCTCCATCTGTACATGTCACCGGTACAAAGAGTTTTTGAGGAGGATTTTTTATTTTACTGTCCATTGTTTTGTGTTATAACAACTTGCAGTGACATTTTTTAGTTTGTTTTGCAGCAAGCTTGGGCCCTAGGTGAAAAGCACAGATACCTATTTCTGATTGCATTGGCTTTGCAGGGACTAGTTTGGGGGAGATGGGCATGGGGTGGGTTATTTTATTTTTGGTACACGGTAGCAATTTTATTTTTTAATTTTCCCAGGATGTTTGGCTGAGGGAATGTTCTGAAATCTACTGTCTGGCAGTTTAACCAGCAGTGTGCTAAAGGAAAATAAACAAAATTATATTGTCACTTGGATGAGATGGTTCCTCTTTTCTGGTGGTGGGGGCAGAGGAGCCCCCTCTGGTTTACACCCACACGAGGGAGGCTGAGCCTGGCTGACTGCTGGGTAACACCGTGCTGCTGCCTCCAGTGCAGCCCTGGTGATCTCTTGCCCATTGCTTTGAGTGATAAAGTGCAAATCGAACGGTACAACATCCTCTTAAAAGTGCTGATGTGGTTGTTGCTTCCTGCTCAGAGCCGGAGCAGCGGAGAGATGCAATCTGCTTTCTGGGCTTTGCAAGCTGCCCCCCTTTCAGCTTGAAACCGTGTCAGAGGCGGCTGGGGCTGGGGCTGGAGCAGGGAGGAAGCAGCAGCCTTGTGCTCCAGGTGCCTGCTCCTGGGGAGGTGCTTTCCTGGAAGGCCTGAGTCTGTCCTTCCTTAGGGATAGAGGCACCAAGCCCATGCAGCAAGGAGGGTTTAGGAGCACTGGTGCAGGCGGTGTTTTTTGAAATAGCATTTGGCTGGCAGTAGCAGGGTGTGCTGCTCACAAGCCACAGCAAGCGTCACAAATCACTGCTCAAAATCTGTTTCCAGTCATCATAAGCATGTTCAGTGTTGGCTGAAGTCCGAAAAGGGGATGCAGATGTTTGTTGTTCTTGCCCCAGTTCCCCAGAGGGCTGCAGGTGACTCTTAGCAACTCTTGCGTGCCTGCTGCGGCCGATGGGCTGCCCCTGCTTGGGAAGAAACACATTCTTTCCTCCTCGTATTGATACTTTGAATCCCTCCAAGTGCGACCCCCGCGGTTTTTCCCACCGGGCTGGGGAGGCTCGTCCGATGTCTGCCCCTGCCACCCGGGGGCACACGGTCCTGTCGCCGTCCCGCTCCCCAGGGACAGCAGCTGGGCTGTCCCCGGTGCTGTGCCCTCCATGGCATCCTCCTGCTGACGCTGCCCCTTCCCGAGAAGTGCTCGTCACCGTCCCCTGCACAGAGCGGGGCTCTCGGGGGACACCTGCCCTGTGTCACCGGCCGCGCTGCGGGCTCAGGCCGCGCCTTCGGAGCCGGGAGCCCAGCGCGGGGTGACGGCCGGGCGGTGCGGCGGGAGCGGGACGCGGGCTGTCAGCCAGCCGGGGCAGCGGGAGTGGGGCCGGGGTTGCTCGTTCCTTGTGCTGTTTTCCCTCAGGTAACTCGGCTTTCCCAGCCGTCCTGTCGCGCTGCGGCCCCGGGCGGAGCGGCTGCCGCGCCGGCGGTGCCCGTGCCGGGCTCTCGGGTCACCCATCCGGGCGCGACCGCGGCGGGCTCTGCTGAGCTTCTGGCGCGGCGTTGCCTGGCAACGGCCCCCGCCCCGCCCCGCGCTCCCATAGCTACCGAGGCGGGCGGCGGCCATCTTGGCAGCGGCCATGAGCGGCTCCAGGGCGCGGGCGGCGGCGGCGGCGCCGGGGCCGGACAAGAAGCTGCCGCCGGGGCCGCCGGGGTCCGCGGGGCCGCTCAGCCGCCTGCGGGGCCGCCGCGGATCGGCCGATGCGCCGCCACGGCAGCCCTGGACCGAGTCCGAGTTGCTGGCGCTGGAGACCGTCCGGCCGGAGCACGTCCTGGGGCTGTGCCGGGTGACGGAGAGTGCGTGCGGGCCGGTCCCGGGGCGGCGGGGGCTCTGCGGGTCGGGGCCGGGCCGGGCCTTTGGCGTGGGGAGCGGCGGGGCCCGGCCCGGCGCTGCCGGCGGGGGACGCGGCGGCTCGGGGTGCGCCCGCCGGCAGCTCCCGTACAACTTCCAGAAAGTTTGGGGGCTTTTGTGTTGTTTGTGGGTTTTGATTTGTTTGAGGCTTTTTGTTTTTTTGTTTTTCCTCTGGGCTGCTGATCTCTGCTTTTCTGTCCCGATCGCATCCCATTCTTGCTCTGCTACCTGGCACTTACCCTGCCTTTGTTTCTCACATCCTAAATTTTGTCCGGCTTTCATGAAGCTTCTGCAAAACAACGAGCAGTACATATCTTATCGGGCCGGGGCTTACAAAACGGGAAATTCATTTGGTAAGTGGTCACAGGTGTTTTGTAATATTACTATATTTTTTCTTCTAGATTATTTATGCAAACCTGAGGACAACATTTACAACATTGACTTCACCAGGTTTAAGATCCGGGACCTTGAAACTGGAACAGTCCTTTTTGAAATTGCCAAGCCGTCTGCTTCAGGTACAGCATACAAACGTTGCAGGGAGGATAGAGAGACTGAGAGCTGAGAGGTTGCAATGCACAACCCCTGCAAACCGAGCAGAAGGGTCCTTTGGTATATGTCCTGATGACTAAAATCCTCTCCTTTAAGCACAGGACTGAGTTTATCTATGCTGAGAAACTTGTGATTAAAATGTGATTATTGTTGGGTGGGAGAGAACTATCGACTGGCAATTTTCCTTTTTTGGGCTGGTTATAATGGAGATTGGTTGATGTGCATTGGCAGTTGTGAGGGGGGATATCCTGTGAGATTGAGGGGACGTGAGATTGAGTTCTGGAGCCACCTCGGCTGGGCCAACTGTCATGGCAAATCTTTTCTCTTTTGCTTCATGCCAGTATAAGCCTCAGACCAATCATTAAATGTGTTTACATTCACTACCTAAGCAGTAGGCATCTTGTCCTGATACACCCACTAGGCAGTGTCACCTCAGGTGTGCGCTCTGAGCAGAGTAACTCCGGGCTGGTGTTTTCCAGAGCACGCTGAGGAGGATGAGGATGACAGCAGCGAGCTGGATGCAAGTGCAGGGCGCTTTGTTCGGTACCAGTTCACCCCAGCGTTTCTCCGTCTGCGGACTGTTGGTGCAACGTGAGTACGAGCTCATGGAGAGAAGGGAGAATTGGATGTTTACAAAGTGTTACTTGACAGTTCATAACAAAACTGGGTTGAAGACTTGAGAGAGCCAATCTTAGACTCCAAATATCAAACTCTCTGTAAAGAACTCTTGTGTAGCCTCATGCCCAAGGCTCTGTTCTTCCTAACAGGTGTTTTTTTCCTGATTCTTCCATGCAGAGTGGAATTCACAGTGGGAGAAAAGCCAGTGTCAAACTTCCGAATGATTGAGAGGCATTACTTCCGAGATCGCTTACTGAAGAACTTTGATTTTGATTTTGGCTTCTGCATCCCCAGTAGCAGGAACACATGTGAACACATTTATGAGTTCCCTCAGCTCTCAGAAGACCTTAGTAAGTACCTCCTTTGCCTCACTGAGTGGTGTTTTGTTTGTGTGTGCATTCTCTCCCTCTACTTGTGAAAGAAGTTGTGACTGGGATTGAAGAGACAGAAACAAACAGATACAGGTTCCCAGTTTAGCAATGTGTAATCTTCTCTGAATTAGAGATTTGTGTGCAAAGTCTCCTCCTTTGAAAATGAAAGCCTAAGACAAACTGTGCTAAGTCACAGGCTGCAAGAACTGATCAGTCACAGGGCTGACATGCCTGATGTCTTGTAGTGTAGCCCAGAAGAAAACAAAACACCAGAGAAAGGGTTCTTTTTATACCCACACATCTGTTTTTGGCACTTGTTTGTTAGGGCTAGAGCCTCCTGCTATGGAGCAGAACTGGTTCTTCCCTGAGGTCTGTTTTTAAGCCTGCTAAGATCTCTGCAAATACAGATTGCCCAGGGTATGTTTGACCTCAGGGGGTGGATGGAGCAGAGGCACAGGGGCCCTTCTGGGGCTGCCTGGCCGTGGGGAAGGTTTGGGGTTTTCATGCCACCTGTGTACGTGGGGGGAGTGCCACAAACGAGCTCCTTCTGCTTACAGATGTGATGGTTGCTTGGCTCCATTCATGGCTCTGGCAGTTTCTAAGCTTATTTGAGTGAGGTTTCTTCATTCCCCCTCTGTTTGCATTTGACAGCTCTTGTCCTGTGAATGGGAAGAAGGGGCAGGGCAGGCTGCAGCCTTTGAAGTAAGCTCAGAAGAGCAGCTTGCTTCTCTTCCTTGTGTAGGGCAGAGCATCAGCCTAGTAAATGCAGTGGAGTGGCAGAGTCCTTTTTATCCTGACTGAGGCTGTTGGAGGTAAAGGAGCTCCCTCTCTCTTTCACAGTCCGTCTGATGGTGGAGAACCCGTACGAGACGCGCTCGGACAGCTTCTACTTTGTGGACAACAAGTTGATAATGCACAACAAGGCCGACTATGCTTACAATGGAGGACAATAATCATTCTGGCTGCTGGATGCTGTGATGCCCTTAACCATTCCAGACGTGCAGGAGTGGACTGGAGTTGCTGTCTCGTGCAACAAGGCTTCTTGCCAAACTTTTTCTCTGTGCATGAGGCTGAGAACATGAGGCAAAGACGATGGCTCCTGAAGGGAAATCTCCCTGCAACACCTCTCTGAGACTCAGCATTTCCTGCCTCTCCTCCTCTGCTCCTGGCTATCTTCTGATAACCTTGGTTAGGTCAGTGATCAGAGGGACTCTTAGACAATTCTTGCTCTTAGTCTTTCTAGTTAGTTTGCACCTTTAGTGCTTCTGATGTTTCACCTCTTGGGTGAATATCCTTTTTCAACAGGTCAGATTGTTTGTGTTAAGCTATTTCTTAGCAGGAAAATCTTAACCCCTTCCAGTAGCCAGCGATGCTTGAAGAGCAGATCTTTTGTTCAGGTGGATAGCTCATCTCTTCAGTGGCAGTGGTTTTGTTTGTGGCATTGCTGACATGGTTTTTTAGGGTGCATCCCAATATTCTCCAGTGGGAAAGAGACTAATTTAGCTTCTAAGCAGTGCAGGAATATTCCATCTGCCTCTGAGGGCCTGAGCTGCCCCTAAGAACATTTAAGCTCTGTTTTGCCAGAGATTTCACTAGAGATACAAGATAGGGGAAAAAGGAGATTGTCCCTCTGGTAGCATTTCTGTTTGAGTTTTTGTGAGCAAACTGTTGAATTTCGGAGCTCAGGGGTCAACCTTAGAGCTGAAGTTAATCTCACTATATTTACCATTTCTCCTTCTTCCCTTTGTAGGAATTTTTGGCCCTTGGTACAGAATGTATTGCTTTTCAGGTGGACAGCACATTGTCAACCTGGCTGGGGTGAAGGTATCCTTCTAGCAGGGCTTAGAGGAAAGAGAATGTGGAAAATCACTTGAAAAAGGAGTAGGAAGCAGAGCTTCCTGGGCTTCAGTCTGTAATTGTAAACCTGACTGGTCTGTCAGAGTTGCTGTGAGCAGCACCAGCTCATTTTCTGTGTTGCAGGGGAGATATTAGTAGCTAAAAGCTTCCCAGGTCAGATCACTCAGTGTTATGGAGTGGGATCCTTGAAAAGTGAGAATGTACATGGTTCTCTTTTTCATTGTTCCCATCATTGCTCTGCCTGCTCAGCTGCTTATTTATGGTTTAGGAAGTCATGTTGCCAGGTTGATACCACAGCTGTGTTTGGGATCTGGCAATGGGAGATAGCATCATGCAGTAGGAAGAGGAGGACCTGTGTCTTGCCGATAGCTGTGCTGGGGCAAGCTCCCAACTGTGCAAAATCTCAGCTATCACAACCTTTTTTGCCAGTTTTACTGGCTCTCAAGACTGGTACTTTTCCTGTCCCCATGCTGGGCTGCTCAGTTGTGTCTCTTGTTGGGGGAGTTAGGTTGTGTCTAGACTGGAGACCTTTCCTAATACTACTTCCATTTGTTCTTGGGACAGTTAAAAGCTAACTCTTCAGTGGTTACCTGTTGTGTTAAGAGGGATTCAGGGTAGTTTGTGTTTCAGCAGGGTTGAGTGGGGTGGACATCAGAGCCTGTTAATGCAGACAGCAATAGGAAACCACTGCCTTTACTCCAGATTAGTGAAAGTAACTTTGGCGTGGAACATCAGCTGGCATCAGAGTAAGCAGTGAGAGAGTGTGGGGTAGCAGCCATGAATGAATCTCCAGCTCTTAGGAAGATACTTAATTATGATTAACCACAACAAATGACCTGTTCTGGGTGGAGCATTAATCATAAGCAACCACAACAAATGTCTTGGGAATGTGGAGGGGCAGGGTCTGCCTGATGGAAAGATGAACTATTCTGCCACCATCGATCCCCTCCAGCATCTCCACAGGCACTATTGCAATCTTGTTTAGGATCTTCAGGATTAGTTAAAGCTCCTGTTGAGTTGGATCTTGAGATGTCTCTTACAGTGAGCACCTTCCACAGCCCTCCTGCTGTGCCTCTGAGGTGGGAGCTTTGCTCTGAGTTACTCACCACAAAGCGAACTGCCTGGAAGTGTGCTTTTCATCTTGAAGTGTTCAGAAATAGTGTCTGAAGAGCCTACTCGTTATTCCCTGGCAAATTTTAGCATATTGAACTGAATTTTGTATGTAGTATAAATCCAGGTGCCTTTAAACTTTTATCACACTTTCTACATGAAGCAACCTCTCGCTTTTCTTAGGAGTGTGACGATTCCCATCTGTTTCTCTTGTCACTGTAAAGGTTCCTCAAAGGCGATGGGCTCCTCACCAGGGCGGGAGCGCGCACGGGGCGCTGGGGGCGCGCACGGGGCGCGCGCGCCATCTGCTGGCGGCGGGAGCGCGCTGCCGGGGCTGGTCCCGGTGGGAAAAGGGAATTGCTGTCCTTGGCCAGCAGCAGAGACGAGGAGACAGCACTGAAGCGGTTGCTTTCGCACTGGTGAATGCGTTGGCTATTCAGCAATAAAAGGGAGAAGTGGAGGAAAACCGGGAGACCCTGCGGTTTTTAACTGAGTGTGTTTGCTTTGCCAAATCAGAAGGTCTTTGCCCTAAAAGCATGCTGCAGGAAAAAGAAAGTCCCTACAAGAGGGCAACCCAGCACTGAAAAAGTTGATTGTAATCCAGAAAGTCAGGGATTTCCAAACTCCTGTTCCCACTTTAGTAGCTTTCCTAGGATTCCTTTTCTCTTAGGTACTTTCTATAAAGCCTCTTTTCCTTGTGGCAGGGATGATTTCTTTGGTAAACACAGTTTAGCAGACCAGCTTCCTTCTGGAGTGTGTGCTCTGGTGTTTTAATGATGGGTCAAAAGCTACTCATGCCAGTGAGCTTGGAAGAAATTCCACTGGGATCACATCCTTGTCAGGTGAATGGTCAGTTGTATCCTGGTGCTGCAGGCAAAGGAGGTGCTATCAGTGTTAGTTGGAGTTTGAGCAAGAAAAAAGGTATCAAAGACTACTTCTCTCAGATTTTGTGCTGAGTTGGAAAAAGAAAAACGTTGGGACCATAGTGAGTTTGCTCAAAACTTCAAAAAGAAAGGGACCAAACCCACAGATACATATTATGTTTTTTCCAGTATTTGTCCTCTTATTACCAGGACCTCTTTTTCACATTTTTGAGGCAAGGGCTTTAGATCCATGCCAGCAAACTTCCTGCAGAGCTATTTTCATGCCTTGAGTGTGGAATATATACTGCACCTTGTGAAGGAAGGTCATCTCTTGTTGTATGGACTGGGTACTTCTGTCCTTGTCCTCTGTTTTTGGTAGGAAATGTCTTGTATGTGTACTTGAGGATTTTTTTCAATGTTTCTTGTTGCAGAGGAGCAGCAGCCTCTTCTCTGGTGGTTGGGGATGCTTATTCCATTATCTGAGGGTTCAGGAAGAATAAAACAAGTGTTTATTAGTCAGAAATGAAGGAGGAAGGCGGTTGTGAAGCACTAAGGTCCAAATGTAGCAACTCTACTTCTCAGCTCTGTGTTTCATCACGTCATCTTCAACTGTTTCCCAGTTTTCTGCCCTGCTGTCCTGTGACATGGAGCTACTTCGTGCTACCCGCGAGCCTGGCTCGCTGTGGGCTGTGACCCTCGGACACAAACGCTGCCATCTCCTGTCCTTGCCGAGGGCAAGGCTGAGTGCTGACGGCCTGCTGGAGTCAGCACCTCTTCCTCTCCAGCAGCAGCAGGACAATGAACACCAGCAAACGCCCTCTCCTCCTGCCTGGATCCCAGTGCTGTTACAGGACCCGTATTTATCTCTCACTGTGTGGCCTTGGGGCTGCTGGCGCATGGACTCCTCTGTGCTGTCCCCTTCGGACCCTGCTCCCGTGGCCGTGGCAGCGCCGCGGGGCTGTCCTGGTGCCGCTGTGTTTGTACACGCGTGGTTTTGTCACCAGCAGTCGGAATAAAGGACCTTCCTTCCCTTTCCTTCCTTCTCTTCCCTTCTCTCCCTCCCTCCCTTCTCTCCCCGCTGCCCGGCGGGGGCGGGGCCGGGGCGGGGGGGCCGCCCGGCCAGGGGGCGGCGCGTGCGCGCCGGGCCCGCGCTCCGTCAGGCGGCGCCATGGCGATGGCGGCGGCGGCGATGGCGGCGGTCGTGTCCCGCTGCGGCGGAGCGCCCCGGGGTGAGGCTGGCGGAGAGGCTTCCCTCTGCTGCGGCTGCTCGGGGGGGCCGCGGGGCACCGGGAGGGGCGGGAAGGGCCGCGGCCCGCGGGGGAGGTGGCGTCCCGGTGCCCTTCAGGGCCTGCCTGAGGCGAGTCCCCTCAGGCGCGGGAGTGGCGCCGCCCTTCAGCCGGGCCGCAGCCGAGGCCGCGGGAAGGTGGCTCGGGCTCGGGGGATCCTCAGGGCCCCTCACGGGCCGGCGCCCGGCCCCGGGCCGGTGTGAAGGGCGGCGGCGGCGCTGAGTCCCGTCCCCGCTTCCAGCGCTGGCCCTGCGGTGCCGCCGGCTGCACACCGTGTACCAGAGCGCGGAGCTGCCCGAGACGCACCAGATGCTGCGGCAGACGGTCCGGGACTTCGCAGAGAAGGAGCTGATGCCGCTGGCAGCGCAGCTGGACAAGGAGCACCGCTTCCCGGCCGAGCAGGTGGGTGCAGGGTTGGGAAGTCACAGCCACAGACCCCTTTCCTGGTGCCCTGGGGCAGCACCCCTGGGGCTGAGGCAGCATGTACATCCAGCGCCGGCTTAGCAGAAAATTGAAGTTTAGACCAACTAGTTGCTCTGAATGTGGACGTTGTAATTCCCACAGGGCATTTTAAGCTTTTCATTTTTATTTGTGTTTCTCTGTATCTGACTTTAGTACCACTGAGTTTTTAGTTCTCTTACCAGTTCTCTTACCATCTGTGGGCTGTAATAAGAAATTATAAAACTAATTTATAAAATTAACATATACTTTTGCAGACTGCACATAATGGTTTATGGTGAGGAATCATAGATGGCATGAATGCATTTCAGATGGTGGAAAAAAGCGATCAGGAGGTACATGCTGCTTATCCTCTGGGGCTGTAAATAAATCAAAATTTCAGCCAAACTAGTGATTTTTCATGTGGAAAGAGACACCAGTGTGCATGTTAAGCAATGAAATACAAAGCTCCAGCAAAATAGATCCTGTTAGCCAAGAGACTAACATTAACCAAGAGACTCCAGGCAAACACTGTCAGAGGCATGAGAGTTTTGTCACATTCATTTTTCTATTAAGGTATAAGGATGGTAGCCAGGAAAGTCACACTTACCCTAAGGAAGAAAATAACTCTACTCCTTACTGTTCTCATCTAAAAAATTTACATTTGATTCTGAATCTTTTGGCTTGAATGTGTAGGGGAAAATTCAAGATACAAACAAGTGTTTAATAAGATGAAGCAACATACATAGAACCAGTGGCTGTCTTGTTCATCTTCTGTATTTAATGTGGAGGATTGGTGTTTTGGGTGCCCACATAGGAGGGAAATTATGTATCTAAAGATTCTCCCTGGTTCCTCTAAAAACAAGCAGAGGCTTATGGTTGTAAAGCAAGGGGTCTAGCTGGGGAACTTGGGGTGGATTGATTGCAATGTAACTAACAAAAAAATTCTCTGGGAAGCAAGTTCTGGCTTTGTTAGGAATGAAAAAAATCACCTTGCACCACTGTTTTCTGCAGTCATTCATTCTGTAAAATTCTTCCTTTGTGCAGTCCTAGGCTGAAGCTCAGCAGACTCAAAGGTAAAGTTCTGATGATTTTTATCAGCTAGATTTCCCATTTCTGCTGACAGGAGACATGCAAGGGTAGAGCTTTGGTGGGAGGCTGAGGAAATGCTGGTGGAGTTCTGTCTCTGTCTTTCACCTTGAGAAGGCTCCCCCCTTCCCAGTACTGAAGAAAGCTCTTTAAACAAGCAAGAGCCTGAACAGCAGTGACTGTGTACGGCTCCTGCTGAAGTCACTGGGATCTGGGGACACTTACCAGTTTGTTGAGATTCCCATTTCACCAGGAGTTGTGTGCATCTTTTCCTCTGGTGTAGCCCTCCCATGCCGTGTGTGCTCTCCGTGTGTCTGTATTTGCTGGCACGCTGGTGCTGCAGAGGATGGGAGCTGTCTGTTCCTGTGTGCAGGTGAAGAAGATGGGAGCCTTGGGGCTGCTGGCCATGGACGTGCCAGAGAAGTACAAAGGAGCAGGGCTCGACTACCTGGCCTATTCCATCGCTGTGGAGGAGATCAGCAGGGGCTGCGCCTCCACCGGCGTCATCGTCAGCGTCAACAACGTGAGCGTGAGCCTGGCATAGCTCAGGGGTGTCTGGGAGAAGGGGATCTGTTCTGTGCTGGGCTCTCTGCTGTGTGGAGAGCACTTTAGAGAGCTGCTCCATTGGTTGTACCTTCAAGAGGCACTAACAGCACCAAATTCTTAAAGTCCCTGTATTTAGGGCCAATACTCAAGTTTGGCTCTGAAGAGCAGAAGCACCAGTGGATTGCTCCCTTCACCAGTGGAGAGAAAATTGGATGTTTTGCCCTCAGTGAACCAGGTGATGTGACTGTTACCATGCCTGTTGCAAAGAACGTGGTGTAGCTTCCTTCCCTGGTCAGGTCTAGGATGAGCTTTAGGTCTTTGA